TCATAGATTAGATTCTCTTATTTGTTTAGTTTAGTTTACTTGCTTTATAAATTGGGATCTCCATGCTTTTTAGTATAGGTCCTTTAATTTTTGTTGTTAATTAGTGTTACAGAGTCTTTGCATGTTAATCGAGTCTTTTATGCGCATGTTTCTGCAATGTTATTAACTTTTCTAATTCTTGAGCCCACGTTTTATTTTGAAGAGGATTAAGATTCGTAGCACACATTAAGTAGGTTAGTCTATGAGTATAAGCGAGAGAAAAAAATAAAGAACAAAACGAGAAAAATTGTATCTACTAAACTAGGTAAAACTCACTCGATTACTTAGTCCAACAATGGTTGAACCTTAAAAAAAACCAAATTAAAAATGCACCTTTGATCAAAATGAGAAAATAAAAAGAAAATATGAATAAAATCGATAACCGGTTTTCCTACCATGTGTGTGACATTATTATAGATAATAAAGGGAATTAATCTGATTGTCTCAAATTAAAGAAGATACAACAAATAAGAGAGTGAGACTATGATACAACGCTGTGATTTGAACTGGTATGCATTGGAGGGAGACTTTTGTCTAGAAAATGCGGTTTGTGTTATTACAATGCCCTTAGTGTTATTAATACTAGTACTTATCGAATTAATTTTACCCGATCCAAATTTGTGACCACGTATGGTTAGTTGTGTTGCTATGTTTTCTTAAGTCGTTTTTCTGTTATGTTGTTGCGCTTACATGTTTTTATTGCAAGCAAAGTTGCTTGAGGATGAGCAACTGTTTAAGTATGGGGGAGTTTGATAACACAAAACACACATTGTATATTTTGACTCGATTTGTATGTGTTTTGATGTCGATTTATATGTTCTTGTAGTGTTATGCCAGTAGTGTGTGCTTATTTCAGGTACTTTGCCGTTGAAGGCTTCCGCACGACAAAATGATAAAAAAATGGCGCAAACAGGAAGAAAATGCAAGAATTATACTGTCGTGACGGTTCCTTTACTGTCATGACAGCCATCAGCTACTTAAAGAAGTCAACACCGGTCAATGAAACAAAGAAGAAAAACCTGAGCCAGGTGAAGGTTGGGTCGTCAGCAAGAAGACGACTATCACAGTCATGACAGACAGAACATCAACAGCGTGATGCCCGTCATGACCCTACGGTTTAGTTTTTTTGTCCTCGGCTCAGAATTCAACTTTTCCACCTCCTCCACTTTCTCCGTCACTTTAATACAATCCTAATAACTTTTAATACAAGTATTAACCTATAAATAGGCATTTATAAGTCATTTTTAGAGATCCAAGCTTATTTTAGAGCATAAATTTCACCTGTAAAAAGTAGTAATGACTCACATTGAGCGGTATTGCAACTTTAAAACTAAGTTTTGGAACATTCTATTTTGTAATTTGTGGCTGCTGCATTAATCCTACCGACATTATTTTTTAGCATTTTATTTCTAGCATTTGTACCAAATTAAAGTCTCTGATCTGAGAAATTTATTATTATATTCAATTTAATTATTTTCGAGTTCATTCACTTTTAATTTTAGTTTTGCTGCTATTTTACGTATGCTTATTTGCATTTTTAATGTACTTAATATGAACATGATCAATACATACTATAATTCTACCATTTTTAACATGTCAGCTTAAATCAACTGAGTCCAGAATGCAAGGACCGTCGCACAGACGGTACTCTAATAAGTCATAAACTAATGTTTATAACGAAAATTGCTTTTATGTCTGAAAATTTTTGTTTTCGATAAATTAAAGTTTGTTGTGAAAGCATAAATATAGTGATACCAATTTCAGCTCGAAAGAGTGATACTTGTGTTTGATTGTAGAAATCCAGAAATTAATTTTTAAATACAACAAAAGCGCTTTTCTAATTACTTTAGGAAACTCTAATTTTCAAAAAGGCTATTTTAAGATTATAAGCAGACACACGAAAGCGAACATTTATACGCTTAAAATATGGTACCGGCCATGCGAAAGTGGACGGTACATTTAAATTAATTTTCTACTAAAAATAACTTTTCAAAGTAAAAAAATTGATTATTTTCCAAAAGAGATTTTGAAGTGTAACATTGGACACGCGAAAAGCGGATATTTAGATTACAAGGCCAGAATGCTCGGTGTGTGGTAAATCTAACCACAACAAATCCTCAGGCCCAACTGCATCAAAACCAATACAACTTGCATAATCCCAAACGCAACCAAGCCAACCTGCACAAACTCAAACACAACCAACTCAATCAACATTATCCAAAACACAACCAATTCCAAGAGTTTGAACTAGACAATCACCAAGAAATACCCAACACACAAATTCACAATCCCAAACACAATCAACCACAAGACATCAAACTAAGCTATCACCAAGAAGAAACAAAACCTAATCAACACAATCTCAAACATAACCAACATCAGGACTTCAAATAAGGCTATCACCAAGAAGAATCCAAGTTGCACAAGTCAAACACAACCAACCCCTACACTCCAAATGAGGGTATCATCAAGAAAAGACACTGCAACATTTTAGGGACCAACTTTAGCATTTCAGCCGCCAAGAAGAACCACACCTAAGCTGCCCATAAAGAGAAAAAACCATTAGGATGTTGTCTGTTGTATTTTGATGAACTAAGATCATGTATTTTGGATGATATTTTGTATTTAGAATGCTATGTTAGTGATAGGTGCTCGTGTATTTTGGATGATGATTATATGTTTTGGACAACTACTATGTATTTTGGATGGAAACTTTATATATTTTGTTTGGTTTAATAAAAGATATTAAGGCCTTATCATTATTTTGGTTAATTGACATTTTATGTTTAATCATGCAATCTTGTATTATTCCATCCAATTTTTAGGTCCATTGTTTTTACAATAAAATGAGTTGTAAAACACGGGTCATTGAAGTCTCTTTTAATGTAACAAATATGTCATTTAAGTCTTCTTTAGTGTAACAAATATTAGCACAAACTATGTCTTTTTTACAACATTAAATTTGACAGATTCTAACAACATCAATTTGGACACAAACATATCCTTTAAAAGTGCTTACTTCAAAATCAAATATGGGCACAAACTAAACATCATCATTGAAAAAAGTCATTAAACATAACATTAACAAATTGTCTAACAACACTAACATTAACATAAACCACAATCACCACTTATTGATCAAAATATACATCAACATTACAAAGATCATTACAAAGACCATTGCACTCTTTTTTCAACCCACTCAAAATAGTTGCAGCCACAGTTTGAAACTCCACTCTATTAACATATAACAGTTAGCATTACCAAATAAGATTTAGAAGAAGATAACAATAAACATACCGTAGAGTATATGTAGCTCTAAAATAGCTTCCTAGAGTTTCATCCTCTCTTCCTAACTGTTCGTATCACTGATTTGACTCCACAAAGAAACCATGGTTCGATTTCATCATGAGTTGCATTTGAAATGAATGAATGACAATTCAGACTTTGTAAATTTGACCCATATGTACTGTATGAAGTCGTTGTTGGAGAAGGAAGACAATGAATTAGATTGGAAGATGATGAACACAATTCTAGGGATTTGATGGAGAAGAAAGTGATTTTGTCTAATTACTTAAAGTTAAATTAAAAACAATTACATCTCAACAACGTTACAACCAGATACACTTCATTAAGGACAACTATGCATTTTTAAAACGAAATTATTAAAATAGACCAACAATATAAACATTATATACCTTAAATAGCTAACTTGTAAAACAAAACTTAAAAACCAATCTATTACAATTAAATAAATTAAAGAACCCTAATATAATTTGACAAAAAAATAAAAATGCTTTCGTATTTGTACCTGATACCAATTCTCTTTGCCAAAAGAAACTTATTATCGATTTTTTTTTATAAAAACTTATTATCGATTTTTTTTTTGATAAAAACTTATTATCGATTTTAAAACCCAAATGTATTATTAAACCGGAATGAATCACTAGAAACCATTAAACCGGATTACTATTCCGGTTTAATTACAGTTGAAGGAAACCACGACTCGAACCGTCCGGTCCGGTTTTTAAAATATTGGTATGCGTTCCCTTCTGTTTTTCCTAGTGTAGCCATCAGTACTCAAGTCCATCTCTCTCCGCTTGCGCTGCACGCCGCCGTCAACCGCCACGGTGCCGATTACCACGCAACGTCTGCAGTGCACACCGCCGCTCCATATGCCAGTTTCTGTTTGTGGTGGTAAGTGAGTTCTCTTCCAATAAACCCTAGGGAAATTCATGTTTAAACTTTCATGGATGAGTTCAATACTATCTGTTTTTCATTCTTAAATTCAATTTATTAGTTTCTCCATTCATTTTATGGATTGTATTCATTCGGTTGATGAACGTTCTATTGTTTTTCAAATTTTTGAATATAATAGAATTTTGAAATCGGAAAATTGTTGTTGTTAGGTTTTAAATCTCCTAATTTTGTGCAATTCATGGTTAATTTTCCTAATTTACTACTGTGTAGGATTTAATTTGCCTTTGCCTTTTTTTTCTTTCTTGGCTTCAACACACTTTAGACACTCCTCATATTAATGGTGATTAATGAGTTGGTTAAAGAACTTAAATTTGATTGTAATTTTTTGGTAGGAGATGGATAGATGAAGAGGAATACTAGCATATTTTGTTTTAGATTTTTTTTGTAATAAAATAAATTGCTCCATTGAGACGCATATAATAGTTTTCATTCTCAATTTAAATAATATATAAATGATGTTCATATTCTATTAATTACAAAATATATATGTATCGGCGTCGGTGTCATATGTTTTTGACATTAGAAGTATCAACATGTCTATGTTGTATGTTAGAGTCCACCCTTCATAGATAGTTATAAGTTTGGATTTGAATACATATATTAAATTGTTCACACCTAATGTTCAGGGTTCTGAATATGCCACTGGCCATCACATAAAGTTTTCAGGTTTTGAATTGTTAGAGGCTAGGTTATAGAGAGAAATGCAGCACCAGCATAGGCTTCTCATACTGTATGCAACTCAAACCGGCAATGCATTGGATGCTGCTGAACGTCTTGCTCGTGAAGCCGAACGAAGATCCTGCCCCAATAAACTTCTCTCTCTTCATGATTATGATCCTGTATGATTTATTTTCTTTATGCCCTTTTGCAATTTTGGGATTTTTTTTCTTTTCAAAATCTTCTTTTCATATCAAGGTTTGAACTTTTGCTAATGGGGGTTGCTTTGTTCAGAGTCTGTTACCTCAGGAAGAGGCTGTCGTTTTTGTGGTTTCTACCACAGGCCAGGGTGATGCCCCTGATTCCATGAAGGTAACTTAACCCTTTTATTTATTTAGTTTTTTTTGTTCTTAGCATTATTTGAGGTTATTTTTTAATCTATAGTTTTGCTGATTCTTCTTTTGTGGTTCCAGGTCTTTTGGAGGTTTCTTCTTCAGAGAAACCTAAGCAACCATTGGCTGAAAGGGGTTCATTACACTGTCTTCGGTTTGGGTGATTCTGGTTATCAGAAATACAATGTAATCATGCTTATTGAGTTGTGACCTTTGTGTTTAAAAAGTTGTGTTTCATTCTGTTAGATTATAAGTATTGTTGTACTTTTGAGAGCTGCATTGTTTATTGATTATGTGCTTCTTGATACTGAGTCACTATAAGCTAAATAGACACTGAATGGTATTTTGATTATGACTAGACAACTTAATTTTGATGGATACAAATTTTATTATTTTGCGCATGAGTTTATCTGGTTTAGTTTCATGTTTTGATTTTGAATAACCCATACTTGCAAACTGTGGCAGTTTGTTGCAAAGAAGCTGGACAAAAGATTAATGGACCTTGGAGGAACAACTATTGTAGAAAGAGGCTTGGGAGATGATCAGCACCCTTCAGGGTATGACTTTGGATTATGTTGTCGATTAAGAATATTCAGCTTGATTTAGTAGAAACATCTACCTTTGTGCTTGTGGAATATGAAAAAGTTAAACAATGTGATTAAGTTATTGATTTTTCCTGAATGTACTCCGTGAGTTTAAGTATTCTTGTTTTTAGTAGTTGGTATTCATTCAAGTGTGTGAATTCTTCTATTCTTTTCTTTGATAAATGCTTCCTTGGATGATATGAATCTACACTACCCATAGGATTTTGGCATGATACCTTGTTACTACTAGTTATGGAGAACTAGGTTATACACAATAATTACTTTACTTTTTCATTTTCTTTTAAAGCATGTTATTTTTTTTAATGTATTTATAATATTCTCAGTAGTTGTATTATTGGAGTATAAAGATTTTCTTTACGTTACTAAAGATGGTATAATTATTTGTAGCTATGAAGGTACTCTTGATCCTTGGATGTCTTCTCTATGGAGAATCTTAAACATGATCAAACCAGAATTATTACCAAATGGCCCAGATGTTGTAATTCAAGATACAATGTTGATTGACCAACCGAAAGTCCAAATCTCATATCACAAAATTGAAAATATCAAGTCGCATTTTTCAACTGCATCAGGTATCACAAACTCGGTAAATTCTTGGTTGGCTTGCAATGTTTTATTAGCAACTATTATGATCTCAAACAGGGTATCTATGTATATTTCTTTTGTTGTCTTCATTTACCATTCATATGATTTTAATACAATGCTTATTAAGTATTAGCTTGCACAAAATTGGTTGAACCCTTTGCTTGCATTCCTTCATCACTGACATTTTCTAGGGTCTATGGCAAGTTATTCGCCGTGCGATGCATGTTTGGTTTACTTATGATAAAGTTTTTAGAGTTATTGATGCTTAAACTCCAAAGCTTGATTTGTCATATTTGAGCAAAAACATCTTCTCTAGTTTTCTTTCTTTCTTTTTATTTTTATTTTTTGGTGTAAATTTTGTGTTAGTTAGTGCTTCCAATGCACGGTTCGTTATGGTTGAGTTATTGTTTGATTTGGCCTTCCACATTTGTACCCTCATTGTTGATTATAAAATTTTAGTTGCTCTCTATATTTGACTAGAATTTTTATAACATATGAATCTTTCAGATTTAATGAGTCCTGATATTCTTCGGAGTGCTCGTTCAATGCATCCGGGAAATTCTTCTTCTGACAGAAGTGGGCATCCTGACTGCTTTCTTAAGATGGTAATAGATAAGGCACTTTGCGCCTGGTAGTTTTATGCTGATGGACAGTTACCTCTTGGTAGCAGTGATCTAATGTCTTAATCTTTATTCCATGCTGATCATGCAGGTGAAGAATCTTCCTTTGACCAGACCAAACTTTGGAAAAGATGTTCGTCATTTTGAATTTGAATTTGTTTCAGATGTAAGCTATCCTGTATTTTTAATCTGACTGTACCCTTTCATAGAAGTGCAAAACTTGTTTAATAATAAGAGGAACGGAAGGCCTATGATGAAATTCACATGTATTACACAGCAGAGAGCTTTTTCATTTATGTGTACATAGTCATATATTGAATCACAATTACGGTGATTTGTATTCTCTGTGTATGTTACTTACTTTACAACACATTAAAATAATTACGAAGTTATTCATCTTCCTTCTTTGAATTAATGTATATGCATTTTGGGTCCCACAGGCTGTTCAGTATGACACTGGTGATGTTCTTGAAATTCTCCCCGGTCAAGATTCAGCCGCAGTTGATGCTTTTATACAACGTTGTAATTTGGATCCTGATTCACTCATCACTGTAAGTCTTTTTTTGGTAAAAGTCTTAAGCTTAGTTAATGTTTAATTATATTAAAAATATATTGATCTTAACATTGAACATCTTAAGTTGTCCTAGTTTTCATATTGTTTATATTTTATTAGATTCATATTTTTGTTTGATAGAAGCATCTGTAAGCTTTGTTAATAAGATATCCCCTAAATTTCAGGTGAGTCCTAGAGAAATGGATGATTGCAATGGACATGGCTCTAGAATGCCTGTAAAATTAAGAACTTTTGTGGAATTGACTATGGATGTAGCTTCTGCTTCCCCTCGGCGGTATTTCTTTGAGGCAAGATGTTGTATGTTTGACTTTCCTTTGATTTTATTTTTATTTTTATAGATAATTACATAATGAGTAAATTGTCATTTTGGTCCTTGAATGTGAGTCGTTGTCACTCATCACTGAATGGATCAAAATTACAAAGCATACCTTAATGTGTATTGTGTTGGTTAGTGTGGTCCTTGTATGTGTATTTTGTTAGTTAGTTTAGTCCATATATGTCCTGAATAACACTGACAATCTTTTAGTTTCATAATATCATCTAATACTTCAATTACCCTAGTAATGATCTTTTGATGAAGATGAAAAATATTTCTCTGAACTATATTCGCATTCGAAAGCAGATAAACAAACAAGGGGCTAGAAGAATGTGGTCTCTCTAACGACATTCTTCACCCATGTTTCCTCATCAAAAGCTAACTCAGCAACAATTTAATGTCTCAGGTTATGAGCTTTTTTGCAACAGCTGAACATGAGAAAGAAAGACTTAAGGATTTTGCTTCGCCAGAAGGAAGAGATGACCTGTACCAATACAACCAGAAGGAGAGGAGAACTGTTCTTGAGGTGAGTTTAATTCTTTGTTTTTTTTATGTATTGAAGCCTTTACTAAGTATCGAACCCTGATTAGACTTTTTTCCTCTCTGAAATGTTACATATTCCTTGATTCCATACTTTTGTTTTCTTGTTTGTTTCATTAAATCAATTTTATTCATATTTATTCTATTTTTTCTGGGGTAAAAAGGTGCTTGAGGATTTTCCTTCTGTACAAATGCCATTTGAGTGGCTAATTCAATTGGTTCCTTTGCTGAAAACTAGAGCATTTTCCATATCATCTTCTCAATCAGCTCACCCTTATCAAGTACACTTGACTGTGAATGTCGTGTCCTGGACAACACCTTACAAGAGGAAAAAGAAAGGACTATGCTCCTCGTGGCTAGCAACATTAGATCCCTCCAATGGTATGTACAAAAAAATAGCCACTTTTTGCAGTTGATATAAGGTCTGTTTGTTACATAATCAGACTCTTAGTTAAGTAACTTGTCATGTGTCTTGTTTTATGCAGCCGTCAGTATCCCTGCCTGGTTTCAAAAAGGTTCTCTTCCGACACCATCACCCTCACTTCCCCTCATACTTGTTGGACCGGGAACAGGATGTGCGCCTTTTCGCGGATTTATTGAGGAGAGGGCATTGCAAAGTAAAAATATTTCCACTGCTCCGATTATGTTTTTCTTTGGCTGTTGGAATGAAGATGGTGATTTCTTATACAAAGACTTCTGGTTGAATCATTCACAAAACAATGGTGTGCTTTCAGAAGCAAAGGGTGGTGGTTTCTATGTTGCTTTCTCTAGAGACCAACCTGAGAAAGTTTATGTTCAGCATAGAATGAAGGAACACAGTGAAAGGGTTTGGAACCTATTAGCCGAGGGAGCTGCTGTTTATATAGCAGGTTCATCAACTAATATGCCTACAGATGTAACATCGGCTTTTGAGGAGATTGTATCGAAAGAAAATGATGTTTCAAAGGAAGATGCAGTTAGGTTGATTAGGGCATTGGAAAGGTCTGGTAAATATCACATTGAAGCATGGTCTTGACTCTTGAGAGTTTTGGAGGTGTCAAAGAGCAAATTGGACCCCTAGAGTTGGCCTTACATTGCAACTGGATTTTGAGGAACTTTCTCGAGATTAATCTAAAGATCTACAGCCGGCTGCATCGTAAAACCAGTTTTAGATGATATTGGGTTTCTCAAGGAGGTACTAATAATACAGTTTTTTTGAGTCCAATTTTTATTGCTTATTATTAAGATTATTATTACATGTGATTTAAGGAAGTGATCTTTAGCATTCCATTTATACATTGTAAATACTTAATTGGTTTATGAATAATAATATTTCATACACACTTTGCAAACAGTGATAAGAGAAGAACAGTGTGCTTGCATCTGCCTCTTTTGCCAAGTCTTTTCTCAGTAGATTTTGGTTAACTATGAATATTTCTTAGATCCATTTTCATTATACAAATTGGTTAAATTACTTTTTTGTTTCAATGAAGATTTTAAGTCCTATATGCATAAAACATGGTCTTCTTCCTCGAACATTAGACACTTGAAACACCAATTTCAAGTGCAATGTAAATTTTCCGCTCTTGTTCACATTTGAAGGAGAATTACAATATCATTGAATTGGATGATAACTAAGTAAATGAAAAAATAAAATAAAAAATACAAAAAAGTAAGAATCGAATGAACCAATGCGGTTCAATCTGGTTCATCTAGACTAATATCCAATTGAGGGTCTAGTTTTAAAAAATACTGGTTTGTTGATGTGCTCATCTGGTCCTCACCGACATCATTTTCCAGTCCAAATGTTCATGATGTGTATGCATTTTCTTCACATGTCTTCTTACCGTGAAATTCACATCAATATTACTTTGAGACTTATGTGGATTCCATCTAATAGCTTGTGAAGAAGGATATGTTTTTTCTTCACTAAAATCTTCATTTTCTCTAGCATCATCAAACTCACTTTTATGATCATTGTCATCATCATCATCATCCAAACTCTTGTATGAGCTTAATTCACCAACCATGCCACTTTCTCTATTTGCATTTTCCTTTGAAACTAATATTGTTGCATTCTCTTGTGTTATCATTTCATCTCTTGGATTTTGACATATTTGAGTTTCCTCTTTAAGATCAATACTATAGTTTCTTTTTGAAATGACTACACCCTTTTGTTTATGATTTGAGTATTTACTTATTTCAAAAGTTGCTAATTCCAAAGCTTGTAGAACAGCTTCTGCAGCATTTTTGTTCCTTCTCTTTTCCTCATTCACATCAAATAGATTCTTATCTTCAATTAAATTTTGATTAGGACCATATTGGACATCTTCTTCATGCTTAACATCAACATATTCAACACTACTACGATTTTCCGCTTCTAGTTTATTTTGCCCTTGGTCAGCATTCAACTTTTCCTGCAATAGCCACATCATACTTCATTTAGATTTTGAAATGACTTATTTAAATTTATTTACCGACGTAAATCTTTGGAGATTATTTACAGGAGCTCATGAAAAATGCTTATGACATGCTCATAAAATTTTCCGAACTTAATTTTATAGATTTTTCAGAATAACTCGTGAAAACAATTTATTGAAAAAATTTATGCATAAGCACTTATTTTGAGAGTTTTTTTAACCTTATTTGTCAATGTAGTGTCCTTCTCAAAAGGCAAAGTAACTCCAATTTCTGAAGCAATTTTCTTCATAGCATTCATTTTGACTTCCATGGTGATATATCTTGATGAGAACTTTTGAATCATCTGCATAATTAAGTCAAAGAAAAAATTTATTAGAATATTGTGATAGATGATTGAACTCTTGAAATAGACAAGGTCTCATAATATCTATATACCTTAGTGTTCACTCCATTGTTTTTATGCAATTTAATAGAATGGTCTGCAAATTCTTTCCCAAATTTTGATGTCATAATCTCTTGGATTTTGTGTAATTCTGGAAATTTTCCACACCTTGATGATGCAAATATAAGGCTGCATGTTGATTCCTTGAGATCAATGGGGCACTCCCTATTTTTGAAATTACTAAATTAGTATATTAAGATAGTAAAGGAATGCATGTGCCATTTCAATCCACCGTTGACAAAAACCGATATTGATAAGTTGAACGCTATCACTAGAGTTTGAACTCTGGTTTTTACGGTTGTGCTTGAGTTTATAGTTTTTGTTACCACTTAAAAAAAGAAAGAGATGAAAGAGATGAGAAAACTAACTTATTATTTTCAAGTATATGAGCTTTTTCTCTTAGGACATTACAATAATCTTCAATCATGACAAATGCATCCAACATGTTTTGCTCTACAATCCAATGTTCTACCTGTTGATAAATAAAAAATACAAAATGCTTCTTGAATAAATAAGAAATGTAATTTACAAAAAATAATATAAAAATAGTGTTGATGCTTACTCGAACAAGAGCTTGATCATGGTAACCAAGTTTCAAGAGTTGAGAAATGTCATAGTGAGCATAAGAAGCTCTAGCTTTGCGATGATTCTTCAAAATTGCAATCCTAGAAATTGCAAGTAATGTTATGTTTTTCAATTTTGAAGTAAAACTCTTTCCGATAAGACCCATTTTTTTCCACTTGTATGAATATTGAAAATTTGCTATAAACTTTGATGATGAGAGAGAACAATGAATGAGTTTATCTTCTAAGCTTCAATGTAAGAGTTTGTGTTCAAATTTGAGTTGATTTATGAACATGTCAATGCTTGTGTATATATAAATAAATTGAACCCTTGATAGTAGCATAAATATGAGTATGATATGAAATTGGTTACTTGTTTTGAATTGACCTAACCTATGCTTCTTCTTTTTTGTATGAATATTTCTTTCTTACATGTTTCCTTTTGTATTATAAATTAAGGATTTATTTGCATGAGTGGGGTGGGAACCAATTATACTATGTTTTTTTTTTTATAATTGATAAGATCATGTGGAATTTGACCACTTTTTCCAAGACTAGTTTCAAAGGTCAAAAATGTTACATAGTTGTTTTTTGTTTTTGTTTTATTATTATATAGGTAACTTTATGTTTTTGTATTTGGTTGAAAAGGTTAGTTTGGTCAGCCATGATCACATGTATTTACAGTGTTGAAAATATTTGTCTGGTTGCGGATTAAATAAGGAAAGAATTGTGAAAGTCCCAACCTTCGTTCCGAGAAACTCGCCTAGTTCCTCCTCCACATAATCAACTTATTTTTCCTCGTATTCTATTCCTTCATCTCTTGTTTCCCTTTTAGCAACATAAATTCAACTTTCACTTCCTCGTGTTTCCTTTCCCCCCACCAGTAAATCCTCTATGGAAACTGTAAGCCTATTTCTGTGAATTTTTTTCCACCCGCCATTGTTTTACAAACTAATTTCCATAATACTATTTTTTTACATTTATTTTTTAAATTGCCATATTTATAAATAATAGGAGGTTTTGGCTGAGCACTTCCGCCCTTCCAATAGGCGGCAGAGGCATAAAATAAATGGCATCCGCCCTTCCAATGGACGGCTGTGTTTATTTTCATTTTTTGTTTTGTTTTAATTTTTAATTCTTTTTATATATTAATAATATTAATATATATTAATAATATTAATATATATTAATAATATTAATAATATTAATATTAATATTAATATTATTAATATTAATATTATTAATATTAATATTATTATTATATATTAATATTAATATTATCAATAATGTAAATATTAATATTATCAATAATGTAAATATTAATATTATCAATAATGTTAATATTAATATAATCAATTAATGTATAATATTAATTTATATTTTTTAATACATAATTTATATTAATTATATCATCAACTAATATTATTTAATACATGATGATTAATAAAAACACTAACGATTACTTGTTTTCACATTGGGACACCGTGTTCGATTGTGGCCCGTTTGACGACACATTGAACATTTTCTCTCAAACTTATCAAAGTTATCAATTTCCGTTGTAATACGTGTGCTTACTGGACGACCTTTCTTGTTCCTCCATATTCTTGGGTTATGACAAATTTGATCTCCTTCATAAACGGGCCAAGTCGGACAAAAGAGCGTAAACGTCGTGGCGCACATTCGAACATGCAGCGATAACATGTGAGCAAGGGACACGATATGCTTGAAACTTTCCGCAGTCACACCACCCGTTCAAGAGGTCGACCTTATAATGTCCCATAGGCTTCCCCTCACCATGGTCCATTGTCTCCTTCACGCTGAAAACATTGTTAGCGTAGTCAAAAATTCTGACTTGATGTGTGCTGGATTTTGTTGTTTCTTCTTTCATCACCTTGAGGCAGTTGTCTGTAAATGTTTCAGAATTAAACAAGACATTCCTGGTCCACCTACATGCATGGAGAGGTAGTACAGCGAACGACCAATGGAAATTCGATGATTGGAGAGACCATAACAGACAAAAACGACAGCATTGGATAAATCGTCGTCGCACTGTTCTACGAGGAAATGTCATGGATACCGAATGTAAACCCAGTAGGGAACACATGACTTGGTATAGATCCGTGACCAATTTGTATCTATCACAAAATAAATATTTATGGGACCCTCGAAACCAACCAACTCCTTCAAACTTCCAAAACATCCCCTCTATGACTTGTAACACCCAACCACAAATATTTAACACCCCACAACAGATATTTAACACCTAACCACAAATATTTAACACCCAACAACAAACATTTAACCCCAACCCAACACAACCACTTTATACCCCAAGGCAACACTACAATCAACCTTACTCATCATTTAACCCAACCTCCTTCAACAACCAACAACAAAACCCAACCTCATCATATCCCCATATAACCAATTCTCATTCTCTCAACCTAGCCAACAAGAATACAACTACCAAACACCCCAACCACAAGTTTCTTTTTACCCTTCACAAAACTTCACCTTTAATTCATCTCAAGACCAACATCCATACCCCCCACATGACTAACACAATGCCACCTTCAAACCTACCAAGTTGGAGTAACGAGGGTACAAGATTAAGTTATGGAAGTGCGGCGGCGATACCAACTGACGACGATTTCAATAATGATTTGGTCGCTGAATTCATGAATCCTAACAATGATGCAGGACCATCTACACAACCCAAAATGTTGAGGTTGATCGTAGAAGGTCCACCAGAAATGTACAAGCTCCTGCCTGTGGAACCCACCAACGCTTACGTCGACCGGGTCGAAATTAATTAAGGGTGAATAGGAAATTTAATGTACATATTTAATTTCAAAAATTAATAAAAATTTATTTTAGTTTGTATTTTATTTTAATTAGTACTATTTTAAAATAATTTATTTTATTTTATTTTATTTTTACGTAATATTTTATTTTTTATTATTATTATCTTTTTTATAACTATTATTTCTAATTAAATTATTATTATTACTAATTTAATAATTATTATTAATACATTAATAATTATTACTTTATTATAATAGTTATTATTAATTTAATTATTATAATTAATACATTAATAATGATTACTTTATTGCTAATTTAATAATTATTATTAATATATTAATATATATTAATATTATTAATATATAAAAAAATTAAAAATTAAAACGAAAAAAAAAAAAAATTTGAACACAGCCGTCCATTGGAAGGGCGGATGCCATTTATTTTATGCCTCTGCCGCTCATTGAAAGGGCAGAAGTGCTCAGTCAAATACCTCCTATTGTTTGAAAGAATGCCAATTTGAAAAATAAATGAAAAAAAATAGCATTATGAAAATAGTTTGTAAAACAATGGCAGGATGGAAAAAAATTCTATTTCTGTGCACTAAATATAACCAAACTACTCTTGAAAATTTTCAATAAACTGTAGGAAAAAAAACTGAGTATCCTCTATGTCAAAGAGAACCAATAATAAAATTCCAATGAGATTGCAACATAACCACTTTGGAGCTACCTCAATGATCGTTCTCATCGATACCAGTTCACAACCATATAGAGCCCAAGAACAACCACAGAGACCTCGACTCCTTATCGTGATAATCATTTAACACCACGACTCTAGCGGAAGATATAAGATCCACACCACCTGAACACCATCGTCTGAGGAAACCTCACTTTTATCGTCATCTGCGATGTATGCATGAGAAAAATTCCGTAGAGTCGTGGTGTTATAATGTAACATCTTTTTGTTCTCACGCTGAATGTAACATCTCACATTCCTCATCTTTTAATTAAAAGTGGTGTTATATTTTATAATTAATCAAAGACTTACTTATGATGATTTTAGGGTGTGGAGTGTGTTTTAGAATCATGGATATTTTAAGCATTATGATATTAGAAGATTAAAAGGTAAAATGTTCATTTTATCCTAAAGGGTAATTTGGTCATTTTAAAATGATTAGATAATGTTCAAGTAACTTTAAAATTTATGTAAGTTTGTGGAAGAAAACGTATATTGCAAAAATATAAATATATTAGTAAGGACAAATTAGAAGAGTAATTATGATATTTCTAAACAAGTTAAGATTATTTAGAGTTAAGGAAAGTTAATTAAGTCACTAAAGCATAATTAAGATGCATTGATCAATTAATAATTTGGTTTAAGACGAATGGTATAATAGGGATTTCACATTAATTAATAAAGGGGAAATTGTTCATTCGGTGGGCAAGGTATGTAAGCCAATACTTGGAAGAAAAAAAAATCAGATTTCTCTCATCTTCTTTCTCCTTCCACACATAGATTGAAGATGAAAAATATGGAGGATAAACTTGTGTGTGAGCTTCCCTTGCTTGTATGCAATGCTCATCTCCATAATCATAATCATTATTCAAAAGAAAATACTAATTGTTGAGGAAGCTATCACAAATTCGTGTTATGCATGAGTTAGGGGGAACACAAAAATTAAACGAAAGAAAATGTTAACTTACTGTTCAATTTACTTGTCAGTGAGAAAATAAGTTTTGGATCATTCAATTAAAGGAGATCCATCGTCATCAACGTCATTTTCAAGTGAGTTCATTTAAATTTGATCTTAGTTAGGTTAGTTAAGGGTTAATTAGTATAAATGGTATTGAAATGAAGGAAAACTAGTTTATGAGTTAAAATTGTGAGTGTAGAATGATGTAAAATGCATGAGGAACCTTAACCTAGTTGACTTTGCATGCATAGGTTTGGTTGAATTTTTCTGTATAATTGATGTATGCTTTTATTTTACTGCTAGGAAATGCAAGTTATATTTCCTGGTCTTTACTTTTTGCTTAGAATCGTTATCCTCTTCGCCCCAAATTACTTTCATTTTCTGCTTGTTTTACTGCTAAAATCTTTTTTTGTCGTTTTTCAATTCTGTCGAATTGCTTATCCTTCTCTTTTAAATTTCATTTGATTTTAAACTCAGATTAGCTATGTCCTAGGATTTAGTGTGTTCAATCCTGCAAGTTAAAACGAGTCTTTAAGATTTGTTAGACCAGCGGTTGTTCTCCAAATTTCACGGCGAACAAAGTTACAATGACATTTTGTGGATTTTCCTCAAGCAATCTCGACTATATTGAAGTATTTTAGGTGAGTGATCCAAGTTGCCTCAGACCTAAAAGAACGCGGTCCATGGTTTTGGAGAGGAAGGCCACACCTAAGGAGAATGAGGTTGTGATCAAAATGAAATTTACACACGCCTTAACATATGCATCACGGAAAGACATGCGTCATGCAAAGTCAACTAGTGCCTTATCCAACGTGCAATGGACCATTCAATTACTAGTACAAGGTCTATTCCAAGTAAATTTCCCATCAACCATGTCTACTTTAACTAAATTACATTTATCAATGACATTCAACAAAGCATATGCCCTAGAATGAATAAATTACCTCCTTTTTGTTCACTTGGATGAATGATATAGTTATAGTCTCCAATCAGCATCTAAGGACCATGAACAATGTTCCTCCAGTCAATGAAGTGGAGCCACATGTCAAGAGGAGAAGTGTACCTGTGACTAGCATAAGTTCCAATTACATACCAAGATGAAGTTTTCAATGATAGCTTGATAGTAGTTGTATCTATAAAGACATCATGCATGCAAGTAACAATGTTACTACCATGATGCTTTAACACTCAAATGTCCCCATATTGACCATGCACATCCATGTAGTGAACACTCAAAAATCCAGCTCTATCCCAAAAGGATTTACTCTTAAGAAAACCAATGTGTATTTTCATAACGATTAAAAATGCTCGAGAGTGTTTTCTAATCAAATCTATCATGTGTCTTTTAGTTTTATTATTAAAACCTCCTTTAATATTTTAAGAGAGCATAATGACTTCTTTGAAGTCTAACATAATTAGTCAAATTGACGGATGTAACAAAGCAAGTCATGGATACAAGACAATTTACATAAGTGATTATCATGGTAAGTGATTATCATTCAAGGAGAGTTTCACAAATAACATCATCTTCTTAAGCAACACTTTCATGCATATCATATTAGTTATTCTCATCGGTGTGACATGTTCTCATTTCAATATGTGGAATGATATATTTTATATAAGACATGAGTTTGTTTTTGTATTTTCTACATACAAATTTTAGAAAATCATTTTGTTAAAAATATTATATTTTTTTATTTTTTTACTTTTTAATCGAATTTACCTTTAGATAACCATTAGTAAAATCCGCAACTACCCTGCGATGATTTGAAAATCCCGACATTGCCCTTCTCTAGGGCGTCTTCTCCATCCATCGTTTTTCAGTTGTGATTCCAGTTCTGGTTACGGTTTGTGCCGCCGCGTCTTCTCCGTCGTGTTTTTCTTCTCACTTTCAATTGCTCCGTCGTGTTATCCAGTCTTCAATTTCAACGATGTGGCGCTCACACGTGCGTACATTTTCCACCCGCGTGTCTCACTCGCACCACAACAACCACTGCGAAAACCACAAATTCCTCTCACCAAGCTCCTTTGTTGGAAGCTGGCGAGCTCCCAAGGACCCTAAAGAAGCCGAAGCAATGCTGGCTCAGCTTCGGAGAGACTACGCGAAGCAGGTGAAAGAGGTTCGGAAGGAGTATATCAGAGAAATGGAGGCTATGGAGTTGGAGAAGCAACGGAAGGATGAGGCTCGGAGGGAATCGCTTAGAGTCGCTAACGAAGAGCGGAAGAAACTGAAGGCTCAGGCTGCTGAACTCAGAGCTCAAGAACGTAACATTGCTCAACAACAATTTCGAGAAACCCTAGTAAGTTTCTTTTATTTTATTTTTCAATTTATTATTATCAAAATTGAACATATGAACCATTGAAATATTTTAAGTTAATATAGCTTAGGGTTTAGCTTACTATGCGACTTTGGTATTGTGGTTGGTATCACATTGTGTTTGGCAAGCTAATTGTTGTTTAGGTGTTAGTGTTAGTCTTCTCCATCCATCCAAAGTGTAGTTTTTGCAAAATCATGGTGCTGGCCATGATTCTTCGAACCTCGCTGTGTATTCAAATGTACATGTAGATAGATGTGTATGTCTTTCCAAATAGTCACCTTTGCTCACTTCCACTTTTAAAAATTATTATAGATGTTTATGTGTTAGCGTTCCTTTGTCCTATGTCAATGTTTCATAGGTGTATGTTGTGGATGAATTGAAGAAGACGATGATAATCCACAACATACAATGCATATATAGATTTATGAAACATTACCACGACACTAGACACAACACTAACATCTAAACAAGGAAAAATCATAACCATGACAGGTTTAAGTTTTTTTGCTTATAATCGAATTGAAAACTAATTGAACATACTCAAATTCAAAAAAGAGAATTACATACATAAACAATTGTTTTCTTTTTTCTCCTCTCAAGCAAAATTTTGCTTTCTAGGGGAAGGAAAGGAAAACAACAGTTTCTGTATATTTTTTCTTTATTTTGAGTTTGAGCATGCTTACTCAGTTTTCAATTTTATTATAAGAAAAAATACTTAAACATGTGTTGGTTATGATTTTTACTTGTTTAGGTGTTAGTGTTGTCTAGGTTAATGTTTCATAAATTTATGTATGTATTGCATGTTGTTAATGAATGTCAAAATTTTTTTTAGTAATAGTCATTTAGTAACTTGATTTCTCTTCTTCCTCTTATATTTGTTTGGTTTTACATTCAATATATGTTTCATATAATTAGTCTAAAAAATAGTTAAATAGCGATTATCCTGCTATCACATTTTTGGGGTCGGCCGCTCTGCTTTGTTATCTGGGATTAATAACTCTAGTCTGGATAATGAGTAAAAATACCTAGACTTGTGCCAATTAAGAGTTTTAGTCAATTACAATTAGTTTTTTTCAATATAATAAAAGAATAAGACTATGTTCTATGTCATTAAAGAGTAAGTGAAAAAAAAAATTGGAAATATGTAATTGGAATGACATCGTTAAATAGTTTGAATAACCATAGGTGATATTTTGCTTATAAACCAGAAGGAGTATTTTATTATTTGAAAATTTGATAGCATGTTTATCTTTGATTTGTTGAGGTACACTTGTTTGTTTTCATTACTTGTTAGTTAGTTGTGTTTGGTTCTCTCGAGGTTTATGACTGTGATGATTGATGTTGTTAGCCAACCATTGAAGAAAGCATTTGTGTATCATAATTCACAATCCAAAATTACTTGTTTATCATTCTTGTTAATGTGCAGGATGTCTAGAATCAAATTGATGAACTTAAGGACTAGTTTTGCAGTCATAATTAAGCGGCTGTGTTTGTTTTATACCTTACTGTTGACCCACCTTCATATTCTAACCAACATTATTGGTGGAATTTCTAGGGCAAGCTAATCCATTTTCTTTTGTCTTTCTACTATAACTATTAATTGATGCATTTGCAGTCCAAACTGAAAATATTTATATTCAGATTAGTTAAGCAAATGGAACTCATTTCTTGTTTAATTTTATATTCGAGAGAAACTTTGATCATGTTGCTGCGCACATAAATTTTGCTTATTGTTATTAATAAATTTGCTATTTTCGTGAATAGTTAAAAGAAAGAGCAGAGAAACTTGAAAATTGGAGAATGAAAGTCAAAATGCATGAAGAGAAGAAGAACGAGAAGAAAGAATTGTTGCATAAACGAAGTTCATTGTGGGTTGATGAAGCCGAACTAGAGAAGGAAATAACAAATGTTGTAGTCGCTACAAGATATCTTTGAGCCCCTTGCAGTTTCATATCTCTACTGTACGTAGAATCTGGTTCTTTATTCAAAAAAAGCCTCCGAGAAATAATTCTTGCACGTAATGTATCATATATGCGTGCTTAAATGTTGTTCTACACAAGTTGCATGGTAAATCATGAAGTGCTATCCATGCTGCATTCTTTTAAGTGACTTGATAGAACAAGCAAGTGGTGGATTTGGTGCAGATGCAAAACAGTTCTTTGTTTAGCTTTGGTCTGATGTTTTATTAATTCAAACAGGTTGTTTGGTTCATAGTATCCTCAACATAACAATTAGAATCAGTTAACTTAGAAAACTCAGGCAATTTATGAAAAACTGTGGTTTATATACTTTTGAGTAACTCTCAATTTGCACGCTTATGATGATGATGGTAACTTGTTCTCTCAAAGAAATTGCATTAAAATTGTGATAATATGCATGTACAACTCAAGAATCATGAATGTCATGGCCAAGCGTGAAGAAGCAACAACGATGACTCAGTCTATAAGACCAAGCATATCTATAAGACCAAGTATGACGAAACTCCTATAGGTCCAGACACAGAAATTTGTTGAAAATACTCCAACATTCTTGCTTATGAAGCTATTGTTGAGCACACCCCTTCCATTAGGGAGGCTAACAATGAGAAATTTGTTGAAAATACTCCAAACATCCTTTCATATGGCACTACTGCAAATGAAGCTATTTTTGAGCACACCCCATCCATTAGGGAGGCTAACAATCAATCAGTTGTCCAACACAACCATTAGGAGAATAAAAACTCTTTCGCTTCAAAACCTAATGTGAATCAAGATGGAGGCTAACAATCAAACTGTTCTCCAACACAAAACTAAGGAGAAGAAAAACTCTTTCACTTCCTAATATGAATCAAGGCAAGACATTTCTCTTAAAATTTTGGAAGAATTCAATCGACGATGATGAAGGTTACTTGTTTTCATATTCCTTATGAAAATAAAATGACGAGTCGTATATTATAGCATGTATAATAGAATATACTAAAATATATTCCTTATGAAAATAAAATGTTGAGCTGTATATTATATAGTATATATAATAGAATATAAAATAAAATGATGAGCTGTATATTTTATTATATAACATAATTACCGTAGTGATATTCAAACTCAGCTTTCACATGGTATTCAAAGTCTATTGAGAGACAATCTTTCACCGTGCTTACTCAATTGACTCACTATCTTCTGGTGCAATTTTCTCCCCAACAAACCGTGTTGCAACTCCAATTTGCCTCTCTTTCACTGTCGTGATCCCTTCAAGCCTCTATTTTTTGGTCACCAAAACCCAATCATCATTATCGCCACCTATTGCGAAAACCTTCCCACGGAAACACCTATTCTAACCCGGCCTATCCGTGAAAGATTGATGTCAACGGCCTTCTCATTGCTCCACACGCCTCCAGAACATCTACGCGTGAGCTTCACGCGTTGCCGTCCTTCCCCGCGCGTGACAACATGTCTGACCATCGATTTCGAAGTTGTTTGTGTTGTCCCACTCGCCTTTCTGTCTCTGTTTTAGATCAAACCTCAATTTTTTCCACTCACGAATAATCAGGCTCAAGTTCAAACAACCTCCACTTTATTTTGTTCGCATGATATTTTCTCTCTTCACATACTCATGGTTACTTATCAGAGCTTTACGCCAAAATACGATGATTTTCTTTGCTGATGTCAGAATAATTAGAACTCTAGTTCTACTGCTCGATTGCACAATTTGAAAATTTATATGTTTGTCTCTCTCAATCATCTTCTCTCGGGCCTTAGGTCCTTGAATCTAGTGCATCTGATCATATTACTGATAATAAATGTTTTTTCTCTTCCCTCCCTATCTCTGATTTCATATCTACTATAAGTTCTTCCAATGGTTCTTAAACCCGATTTGAAAGGATTGATATTGTTCAAATTCTATCTTCACTCCCTACTACTTTTATTCTCTACATACCTAATTGTCCATTTAATTTTAGCCAGTTGTTTAACTCGTTCTCTTGATTGTATTTTCTCATTCACTAACAGTAATGTTATCCTAAAGGACCGAAGTTTAAGACTGGAGATTAGTGTCAGATATGAGTCTAAAGACCTTTACTACCTCGCTATGTCATCCAAAAACATGCTCATCCATATATTATCCACTCACTATCCATGCTCAGTTAGGTCATCCAAGTCTTCCCAAACTACAAAATTTGATGTCAACTTTATCGAAGGAATCTAATTTATATTGTGAGTCATGTCAGTTAGGGAAACACACCCGTAGTCAATTTACCAATCGATTCAATAAACGAGTTTTGTTTCCCTTTTGCTTTAGTTCACTCTGATGTTTGGGGTACCTCACATAATGTCTCTACTTTTTAGTTTAGGTATTTTGTCACTTTTATTGATGATTTTTTACGTTGCATGTGGTTATTTTTAATGAAGAATAAATCTGAATCATTTTATATTTTTGAACAATTTTATTAAGAAATAAAAACTCAACTTTGTGTGTCTATTCTACCTTAACAAATTATAATGCCCGTGAATATTTATGCCAACAATTTCAGAATTTATTTTCATGTAATGGTATTCTCCACCAAACATCTTGTCCTCATACACCTCAACAAAATAGGGTAGTCGAACGCAAAAAAGTGACATCTCGTAGAAACCACTTAAACCCTACATCTCCTTGATAATGTCCCACTCCATTTTTTGAGGGATGTTTTGCTAGCAACATGTTACCTTATAAAACGCATGCCTTCATTGTCCTTAACAATAATATCCATCATTCATCCTTTTCCCCACTCCCTATTCACCCAATTCCTTCTCATGTCTTTCGAGCTATATATTTTGTTTGCAATCTCTCTTTCAGACTTGATAATCTATCATCTTAATTACTCTAGTCTGTTTTTCATGGTTATATCATTTCAAAAAAAATATCGTTGCTATTCTCCTACACTATAATGATACCATATATCAACTGATGTTACCTTTTTAAAGTTTTTTTCCCCATATTTTGAGTCAAAACACTAACTGTAGAACCCCTTCGTTAAAGTTACTCATACACATCTTTCGTAAGTTATTGATATCCCTTCTACCATTGTTCCTTATGAGTCTAGGGAGTCTGACCCACTAGATACCAATATGATTGACCCCCTCATCCACTTCTCAACCATTACAAACATATCACTATTGTCACACAAATCTTGTCATACATGTTCTTAAAGTCATTGCAGACTCTCCTCCGACGTAGTCACCATCACCCGATCCATTCCTATAGCCTGATTCCAATCTTTTGATTACCTTTCAAAAAGGTATACGTCAAACACGAAATATGTCTCCATATTATATTGATTTATTTTATCATTGTCTTTTCCTTTTGAATTATACATGTCTCTCTTCTTTGTCTTTTGTTTCTACTCCTAAATTTTTAGGTGAAGCATTATCTCACCTTGAGTGGAGGCAGGCATTGATTGACAAGATATGTTCACTTCAAAGTTGTGGTACATGGAAACTTATCCGTCTATCCTCTGGAAAATCTTTGGTAGGTTGTCGCTAGCTTTATACTATGAAGGTTAGTCCAGATGGTAAGATTGATCAATTTAAAGCTCTATTTGTAGCCAAAGGATACACTTATATTTTTAGGTTGTATTATAGTGATATTACCATGTTTATGGCCAAGATGTCAACAGTTAGACTTCTTCTAGCCATTACATCCGTTTGACTTTGGTTTCTTCATCAAACTGACATCAAAAATGTATTTTTACATGGTGATCTTGAAGAGAAAATATATGTGGAGAAACCACCTAGGTTTGTTTCTCAAGGAGATTCATCGACTATAGTTTGTCAGCTACATAGGTCTATTAATGGTCTTGAACAATATTCAAGAGCATGCTTTGGAAGATTCAACATCGTAATACAACAATTTGGTATGGTCTGTAGTGAAGCTGACCATTTTGTTTTTTATTGTCACTCAATCGAAGGATGTATTTATCTTATTGTGTATGTAGATGATATTGTCATAATTGGTAATGATCATCAGGGAGTAGTATAGTTGAAACAAAAATTTTCGAATCAATCTCAGACAAAATACCTTGGTAAACTCCATTATTTTTTGGTTATTGAGGTATCTCAACCTAAAGATGGTTTGCTAACTTCTTAGTGAAAATATGATATGCATATTTTGGAAGAAACAAATTTGTTGAACGTTAAACCAGTTGATACTTCTATGGGCCCATGTGTTAAACTTCTACCCAATGAAGAGAAGCCTCTATCTAATTTAGGAAGGTATAGAAGGTTGGTTGGAAAGTTAAAGTATCTCACATTCACTCGACCGAACATTTTTTTTGCAGTTAGTTTGGTAAGTCAATTCTTAAATCCTCCTTGCAGAGAACACGTGAATGTTATTATTCGTATTCTGAGATACATCAAAGGTGCTTCAGGAAAAAATCTCATTTATGATGATAAAGGACATACTTAGATAGTTGAATATTCTGACGTTGATAGGTTAGGGTTACCCATTGATAGATAACCCATATCTGGGTATTGTTACTCGTTGGAGGAAATCTAATATCCTTGAAAGTAAGAAACAAAACATAGTTGTAAGATCAAGCGTCGAGGAAGAATATAGGGCTATGACTTTGGTAACACATGATATTGTTCGGTTGAAGTAGTTTCTCAAAGATTTTCAATTTTAAGAAGCAAGACCAATGAAACTTATTTGTGATAATCCAGTTGCATTGCATATTTCTTCGAATCCATTTTTTTCATGAGAGGACCATACGTATTGAGATAGATTGCCATTTTGTTAAGTAGAAGATCAAATTAGGTGATATTTTCTTAAGGTTTGTCAACTCTAATGATCAATTGTCAAATATATTTACAAAATTCTTATGAGATCCTAGAACTAATTATATAAGTGCATTTGACTTATATACTCAAGTTTGAAAGGAAATATTGATATTTATATATCAACATTCCTTAACCTATCTATAA